GAAAGGTTTGGGATAGGGAGTAAACGATAGGATAAAGGAAAGAGCCCAAAGAGAGAGAAGAGCAGTTACAGCAGGATCTTGATCAGCTGGGGAGGTGGGCCGAGAAATGGCAACTGGAGTTTAATATAGATAAGTGTGAGGTGTTGCATTTTAAAAAGTCAAATCAAGGTAGAAGTTTCATGGTGAATGGGTTAGGCCTTAAGGAGTGTAGTGGAACAGAGGGACCTTGGAGTTCAGATGCACAGTTCTCTGAAAGTGGAGTCACAGGATAGACAGGGCAGTGAAGAAGGCTTTTGGCACACTGGTCTTCATCAGTCAGGGCATTGAGTACAGAAGTTGGGAAGTTATGCTGCAGTTGTACATGACATTGGTGAGGCTGCATTTGGAGTATTGTGTTCAGTTTTGGTCACTTTGCTATAGGAAGGATGTTATTAAACTGGAAAGAGTGCAGAAGAAATTTACAAGGATGTTGCCAGGATTCAAGGGACTGAGTTATAGGGAGAGGTTGGACAAGCCAGGACTTTTTCTTTAGAGCATAGGAGACTGAGGGGAATCTTATAGAAGTGTATAAGATCATGAGAGACATGGATAGGGTGAATGCACTCAGTCTTTTTCCCAGGATTGAGAAATTGAGGACTAGAGGGCATCAGTTTAAGGTAAGAGGGGAACGAATACATGGGAACTTGAGGGACAACTTTTTTACGCAGAGGGTGGTACACATATGGAATGAGCTGCCAGCGGAAGTGGTTGAGGCAGGTACATTAACAACATTTAAAAGGCACACGGATGAATACATGGATAGAAAATGTTTAGAAGGATATGGACCAAGTGCAAGGAATTGGGGTTAGCGTGGATGGACATTTTCGTCGGCATGGACCAGTTTGGTCTCCGTGCTGTAGGACTCTATGAGACTGAGGTCAGGCTAATTGGGGATGGAGATGGTGCGTGCAGGGCAGGGAAAGCAGGATGTGCTTACAGTTCACGATTAATCCACCTTATCTTATTGGCCTGGTGCCAAAGGTCTAATGAAAGCACTGGAGGAGAAAAAGCAATGCAAAATTCATTTTGTGCTGAGTGTATCATTGGGGAGTCCCTTCTGCTTCAATAATACCTCATTAGAAAAAGACATCTTCCTCATTAATTAGATGGAGAAGAGCTACAGAAAGGTACAACACAAAGGGACTTATGGAGCTCTCTTCGTGATTGAATTGAATCATTTATTGTCATGTGTATTCAATGAAAAAGTACAGTGAAAAGTGTGTATATTCACTGTACATACAGGGCACATACTTATGCATGAAACACGGAAAGCTAGCACACGGACAGCAGGTAATCAGGAAGGCCATTGGAACGTTGGCCCTTGTTTCAAAGGGGTTGGAGTATAAGAGTAGGGAAGTCTTACTGTAACTGTACAAAGTGCTGGTGAGACCACATCTGGAGCATTGTGAGCAGTTTTGGTCCCTTTTTTAAGGAGAGACATCATTTCATTGGAGGCTGTTTGGAGAAGGCTCACTAGGATGATCCCTGGTTTGAAGGGATTGTCTTATGAGCAAAGGTTAATCAGGTTGGGACTCTACTTACTGGAGGTTCGAAGAATAAGAGGTGATCTCATTGAAACATATAGGAGGCTTGGCAGGGTAAATGCTGAGAGGATGTTTCCCCTCATGGGAGAGTCTGGGACCAGAAGGGCACAGTCTCAGAATAAAAGGGCACCAATTTAAGACTGAGATGAAAAGGAATTGCTTCTCCCAGAGGGTTGTGAGTCTTTGGAACTCCTAGCCGCAGAGAGCTGTGGGGGCAGAGTCCTTGTGTATATTTAAGGCTGAGGTAGATAGATTCTTGATCAGTCGTGGAACCAAGGGTTATGGGGAAAGGGCAGGAGAGTGGACGTGAGGAATGTTGGATCAGCCATGATCCTATTGAATGGTGGAGCAGGCTTGAGGGACTGCCAACTTCTCTTCCTGTTTCTTATGGTGTCATATTTTTAATCACTCAGTTCATTGTTTCAATCCCGAATCTGGATAGGGACACTGTTGTCAGGCCTCTCCAATCTCCAACTGTTACCTTTAACCCTATCACTGAGAAGTGCTTATTCACTGTTACCTTACAAGGAGGTTGTTTGGCTTTATTAGGTCCACTGCTAGATGAGAATGAGTTTTCCACTCATCCCATTTTCCAGCTCTTGGTCCGTAGCCCTGTCGGGGCCTGAATGTAAAGTCCATATCCACACAGTCAGTTTCTGCCACTGTTTCAACCAGTGAGCCCTACCAGCCTCTGGATGAAACAGTGTCACCCCAATCCTTCTATTAATTATTTTAAATCCATCCTCTTTTCTTATTTTTTGTTCTGCTGAGAGAAATGAGCCCTTCCAATCCACTCCATCCAGGCCCATTTTAATTCTTTACATCTCAATCAGGTCCCTTCTGAGTTTTTTGTTTTCTGATGTTAACTCCCTCCACCACCGACGCTCAGTAGCAGCAATGTGTACTACCTATGAGGTGCAGTGCAGAAATTCACCAAAGATCCTCAGACAGCACCTTCTAAACTCATGACCACTTCCATTTGGAAGGACAAGGGCATCAGACACATGGGAACACCAGCCCCTGCAAGTTCCCCTCCAAGCCACTCACCATCCTGACTTGGAAATATATCGCTATTCCTTCACTGTCGCTGGGTCAAAATCCCCCCTCGCTAAGAGCATTGTGGGTCAACCCACAGCACATGGACTGCAGTGGTTCAAGAAGGCAGCTCACCACCACCCTCTCAAGGGGCAACTAGGGATGGGTAATAAATGCCAGCCCAGCCAGTGACGCCCACATCTTGTGAATGAATAAACAAAGAAAACATTCCAAACCTATCCAATCATTCCTAAGACCAAAAGTTCTCCATTCCTGGCAGCATCCTATCTGGTGCAGTTCTTCCTGTAATGTGTTCACCAGAACTGTACACACTTATAACCCCTAGTTCGAAGGAAGAAATGGAACTACGGAAATTAATGGCTTGAAGAATTGACAAGTCCGTTGTAACTGAGAGCCTCTATCTCAGGTTTTGGAACTGTTTCCCTCAATAAAATATCACAAACTTGGGATCATAATTTCAGAGCAAGGATTGGCTGTTTGGCATAAAAGCTGAAAGAACTGTGGGTGCTGTAAATCAGAAATTGCTGGAAAAGCACAGCAGGTCTGGCAGCATCTGTGGAGAGAAATCAGAGTTAACTTTTCAGGTTGCTGAGCTTTTCCAGCAATTTCTGTTTTTGTTGGCTATTTGGGTCTGAGCTGAGAAGAAATGTTTTCACTGACAAGATGGTGAATCTTTGAAATTCACCTCTCCAAATAGCCAGGCATGGCCACAATGGTGATTTTTCCTTCGCTAAAGGACATTAGTGAACCAGCAGGGTTTTTCCCAACAATTGACAATGATTTCATGGTGATGATTAGAATTGTTTTTTTTTAAATTCTGCAATGGTGGGACGTGAACCTGAGTCCCTAGTATTTTAGCTCCCTAGAAAACTAGCCCAGTAGCAATGTCACTAGGCCATTAACCCTACCCTTTATTGAGGCACTGAATCTGTTATACCAGGAGCCAACATAGGTGTGCTTATGGCCATGATGATGCTAAGGATTTTCTGGTGAGTGAGTTAAAGTAACTTCATTCCTCTCTGCAAAATTCAACCCTGACACATCTCCCAAATCATTACATTCTTATTCTGTTTCTGCTTCCACTATTTTTTCATTGGAATGAATTGTAATTGAATTCTACTTCGAAGCATTATGCACAGACAGGCCATTCAGCTGCTTGAACCCTCCATCTCCCTCACTTTCCATTGATTAAAAAGATTATGGATATAAAGTTTTCACCAACAAACTCAACAGGGTATTCATGAGAATCTTCCTTACCCAGAGCGAGATGAGAACGTGGAATTCTCCACTCTACAGAATAAGTTGTCTTTAATTATGTAGGGTGGCTCAGTGGTTAGCACTGCAGCCTCACAGCGCCAGGGACCCGGGTTCAATTCCACCCTCGGGCGACTGTCTGTGTGGAGTTTGCACATTCTCCCCGTGTCTGTGTGGGTTTCCTCGCACAGTCCAAAGCTGTGCAGGTTAGGTGGATTAGCCATGCTAAATGGCCCATAGTGTCCAGGGATGTGTAGGCTAGCTGGATTAGCCATGGGAAATGCAGGGTTATAGGGATTGAGTCGGGGGTGGGTATGGGTGGGCTGCTGGTCATTGTGAACTTGATGGGCTGAATAGCCTGCTTCCACACTGTAGGGATTCTATGATACAGTTATAGATGGTATTAATTGGGGTTTCACTCCAGCACATTTCAGAGACACTTACTGAAATTGTGTTATGGTTATATGAGGTGATGTTTTCTTGCATTGTTTGTCTTTGTAAGTACATGTTAGATTGAGAAACAATTAGTTTACCAACTGGCATTCTGTTTGTTTGTGGTTGAGGTGAATAGTCTACTTCAGGGAAAGCTAGATAACTACATAGGGCAGCACGGTGGCTCAGTGGTTAGCACTGCTGCCTCACAGCATTAGAGACCCGGGTTTGATTCCACCCTCAGGCAACTGTCTGTGTGGAGTTTGCACGTTCTCCCTGTGTCTGCATGGATTTCCCCTGGGTGCTCCGGTTTCCTCCCACAGTCCAAAGATGTGCAGATTAGGTGGATTGGCCATGCTAAATTACCTGTAGTGTTCAGGGATGTGCAGCTTAGGTGGGTTAGCCATGGGATATGCAGGGGTAGGGGAATGAGTCAGGGCAGCATGCTCTTCAGAGGGTTGGTGTGGACTTGTTGGGCCAAAAGGCCTGTTTCCACACTGTAGGAATTCTGTGATGTGATGTACATCTTTATATCATCAAAGTATGTCCATAGGGTTCAAAGAAGAGGGATTGTGCAAGGCTCATGTGGATAAGGATGACCAGCAAGGACTGTTGGGTCAAAACAACCTGCTTCTTTTCTGTCATTTGAAACCAAACATTTCTTTTTCTTAACAGGTGGAAACTACGAAGCAAATTCTGAAGGAACTTAATTTTAATATCGTAGAAATAAAAGATGAGACAGCAACTCTTGATGGTGGGGATGTCCTGTTTACAGGTATGTGTTTTGGATATTCAGCAAGCAGTCAATCCACTCAATGAGTCCTCTGAATGTTTGTTCATTCCTGAACGCTGTGTCTGTTACCTGGATCCTGGTAAAATTACATAGAAGCAAGAGCAAGAGTAGGCCATTCAGCCCTTCAGATCCACTCCAACACTGATTAAAGTTATGGCTGTCTCCAAGTCAAATCGACTTTCTTTCTTGATCCCTATATCCCTTGATTTTCTTAGTGTCCAAATGGCTTAATCTTGAACATATCCAAGGTCTCTGTATCCAGACCTCTCTGCAATAGAGATCAAAGATTCACGGCCCTCTGAGTGAAGAAGTTTCTCCTTATCACAGTCCTAAACATACTGAGATTGTGACACCTTTCTAGCTTTTTTAGCCATTGGGGAAACAGCCTGTTGTCTATGTTATGGTGACATTCCAAAGCAATTTATTGCATGTCCAGTGTTTTGGGCATTTCTGGGTGATGTGGTGAAGTCCCAGATATGTGATTGACTCTTAATTGCCCTCTGAAGTAACCCCAACAAGCTATCCAGGTCAAGGGGCAATTAGGGATATGTATAAATGCTGGCCCAGCCTGGAGAAGCAAATTACTGTAGATGCTGAAATCTGTGGACAGAGAGCAAGCTAACATTTTGAGTCTAGATGACTTCATCAGAGCTGACATGAAGTGTGGAGGGAGGGGGGCAGCATTTATGCAATAGTGGGAGGGTGGAGTGCTGGGCGAGAAAGAGTATAGACAGTGCAGATTAAGTCATCGGAATGTGAGAATGGCAGAACAATATAGTAAGAAAGGGCATATGGCATGCTTGAGATAACAAGGTATAGAGCTGGATGAACACAGCAGGCCAAGCAGCATCAGAGGAGCAGGAGAGCTGACGTTTCGGGTCTGAACCCTTCTTCTGGACCTGAAACGTCAGCTTTCCTGCTCCTCTGATGCTGCTTGGCCTGCTGTGTTCCTCCAGCTTCACACCTTGTTATCTCAAATTCTCCAGCATCTGCAGTTCCTACTAACCCCATATGACATGCTTGCTTTCATTGGAAGAGACATTGAGTATAAGGATAGACAAGTTATGCTGCAGCTTTATAGAACTTTAGTTGGGCTACATTTAGAATATTGCATCCGGTTCTGGTCACCACACTGCCAGAAGGGTGTGGATGCTTTGGAAAGGATACAGAAAAGATTTACCAGGATGTTGCCAGGTATGGGAGTTTTTTTAGCAATGAAGAAAGGTTGGATAGACTGGGTTTATTTTCACTGGAACGCAGAAGATTGAGGGATGAATCATATACATAGAGTGGAAAGTATGAGGCTTTTCCCAGGATGGAGGGGTCAATTACTAGGGGACAGAGGTTCAAGGTGTGAGAGGGGAAGTTTAAAAGAGATGTGTGAGGCATGTTTTTTGTACAAAGGGTGATGAGTACCTGGAACGTGCTGCCAGAGGAGGTGGTGGAAGCAGACACAATTACAGCATTCAAGAAGCACCTGGATGAATACATGAATAGGAAGGGAATAGAGGGATACGGATCCTGTAAGTGAAGGCAGTTTTAGTATGGAAGGGCAAAATGTGTCAGTGCAGGCTTGGAGGATCGAAGGGCCTGTTCCTGTGCTGTACTGTTCTTTGTTCTTTGTAATGGCGTGTCTAACTGCCAAACAGGAAAGAACAGTCAGTCCAACTGGAGTGGGGGGAGAGGAGAGAGGACATGCTGACAGAGAATGCAACAAGTAAAACTAATAGACAGAAAGAAAATGGGAGTGAGTTCACAGTCTGAAGATGTTGAACTCAATATTAAGTCCAGAATGTGACCCAGCCTGTGATGTCCACATTGTATGATTGAATAAAAAAAAGTTAAAAAAAAGCTCGTTTAAAGTGGAGTCCCAGGTAAACAGGATAGTGAAGATAGCGTTTGGTATGCTTGCTATTATTGGTCAGTACATTGAGAACAGGAGTTGGAAGGTCATGTTGCAGCTGTACAGGACATTGGCTAGGCCACTTTTGGAATACTGCGTGCAATTCTGGTCTCCCGGCTATAGGAAGGATGTTGTGAAACTTGAAAAGATTCAGAAAAGATTTACAAGGATGTTGCCAAGTTTGGAGGGTTTGAGCTACAGGGAGAGGCTGAATAGGCTGGGGCTATTTTCCCTGGAGTGATGGAGGCTGAGGAGTGACCTTATAGAGGTTTATAAAATCATGAGGGCCATAGATAGGGTGAACAGCAAAGGTCTTTTCCCCAGGGTATGGGAGTTTAAATCTAGAGAACATAGGTTTAAGGTGAGTGAGGAAAGATTTAAAAGGGACCTGAGGGGCAACTTTTTCACATAGAGGGTGGTGTGTGTATGGAATGAGCTGCCAGAGGAAGTGGTGGAGGCTGGTATAATTACGACGTTTAAAAGGCATCTGGATGGGTATATGAGTAGGAAGGGTTTAGAGAGATATGGGCCAAATGCTGGCAAATGGGACTAGATTTATGTAGGATATCTGGTTGGCATGGCTGAGTTGGACCAAAGGGTTTGTTTCCATGCTGTACAACTCTATGACTGTGTAATTCAAAATGTCCAGCCTCTTACCCGCCTGCAGAAGTTGACATCTCTCTAAATCTTAATAATGTTTATAGATTTTGACAACTTGTTTTGATGTTTGGAATTTGGATGTTTTTGAGAGAATTTCTCCTCCCTGCTTACCCATGCACTGGCAGTCTGTGATCCTACACTACACTTTTCCCAGTGTTTGGGAAATCACTGACCTAACACCCTGAGAAAATCAGCTGCAGCTCCCAAATAAAAAAAGATGTTGTGGAACGGAGCAGTTCCAAAAATGATTATCTTTACAGGACATTGTTTGAGTCTAAGAGAAACTGATAGCAGTGCATGAGGATGCAATAACCAGAAGTCATACATTTACGACAATTAGCAAAAGGAGTAGAGACAATAAGGGGAAATACCTTTTTTTTTAAAGAAACATAGATATTCATCTGTGCATGAAAAGTACATGAATTATAAAATGTCTTGAGACATTATTGCTCTGTGTCACTAGGATTAACTACACAAATTGTAATGTTGCTGCCTTGTGAATAATGATGGGGAAACTTTTGATAATTACTGTGATAAAGCCTAGAACATTGCTTTTACACACATTTAGGTAATCTGACACCTTCATCTTTACAGACTGTGATGGTTTGCAGTTTGCTCTGTCTAGTTATCTTTGTGAGTCTCATTATTGCAATCAATTGCTGCATTGTTGTTCATGATGATATAGAAACATAGTAAATAAGAGAAAGTGTAGGCCATTCGTCCCTTTGAACCTGTTCTATCATTCAGTATGATAATGGCTGACCATCCAACTCAATCCCCTGTTCCCAATTTCTCCCCCATACCCTTTGATCCTTTTAGTCCTAAGATCTATACCTAACTCCTTCAGTGTTTTAGCCTCAACTCCTTTCTGTGGTAGTGAATTCCACAGGCTCACCACTCTCCGGGTGAAGACATTTCTCCTCATCTCAGCCTGAAATGGCCTACCCTGTCTCCTCAAACTGTACCCCCTCATTCTTCTAAACTCCAGTGAATATCAGCCTAACCAATCCAGTCTCTCTTCATCCATCAGTCCTTCTGCACTGATTGGCTCACCTTGTTTTGCCCTTTCAGGTCATGATCTGTTAGGGTATTGGTAGGATTCTGGGAGTCGGGGAGAGCTGATCTGTGTCCAAAGGTCCATACTTTCACAGGATTCCCCTCCTGGCATTCTCTCTCTGTCCCTCATACCCTCTGCTCCTTGAGATTGCCCCACTCTCCCAAACAGAAGCCTTTGACACTAACCCTAACCTTATCACTAACCTTAACTCTGTCAGTAACATAGGACATAAAACAGTACAGCACAGTACAGGCCCTTCGGCCCACGATGTTGTGCCGACCTATTATCCTACTAAGATCAATCTACCCTGCATATCCTACATTTTACTATCCTCCATGTGCCTATCCAAGAGTCGCTTAAAAGTGTCTAAAGTATCTGACCCCACTACCACTGCCGGCAGCGCATTCCACACACCCACCACTCTCTGTGTGAAGAACCTACCTCTGACATCTCCCCTATACCTTCCTCCAATCACCTTAAAACTATGCCCCCTTGTAATAGTCATTTCCGCCCTGGGAAAATATCTATGCCTCTCATCATCTTGTACACCTTAAGCTTAAGCTTAACTTTAACCCCAACCTTACCCTAATCTGAACCTTATCCTAATACTAACTCTAACCTTAACCTTAACCCCAATCTTACCCTAATACTAACCCTAACCTTAACCTTAACCCCAACCTTACCCTAATCTGAACCTTATCCTAATACTAACTCTAACCTTAACCTTAACCCCAACCTTACCCTAACCTTAACCGTAACCTAATACTAACCCTAACCTTAACTTTAACCCCAACCTAACACTAATCCAAACCTTAACATGAACCCCAAATTAACTCTAATCTTAATACTAAAGCTAACACTAGCTCTAGCCCTAAGACTGATTCTAACCCTAAACCTAATGCTATCCCAGCACACTACTCCTTTAACAATTGCATTAATCTACTCGTAGGTAAGCACTGTGGTTGATACAGTTCCAACACTGCTATCTTTACCCTTACTCCTATTCAGGGAAAGAATTTTTTGTGGGTCTTTCGAAGAGAACCAATCAGCAAGGTGCTCAAATTGTGGCAGATGTTTTTAAGGTGAGTGAACGTTCTGTTCGATTTCAGTTTGTGATGTATCTGGAGGAGTGGGGTCTTGGGGGAGGGGGTGTGTCGGGTTCAGGAGGTGGGGTGAGGTGTTCACAACACTGATGGCTGCTCATGAGGAGCAAGTCAAGGATTGAGTTCCTAGTCAGGGACAGCAGCTCTGCTTTGTGTCATAGAAATATACAGCATGAAACAGACCCTTCGGTCCAACTCGTCCATGCTGACCAGATATCCCATTCTGACCTAGACCCCATTTAGCCCCTATCCCTCTAAACCCTGGCTATTCATGTACCCAGCCAGATGCCTTTTAAATGTTGTAATTGTACCAGCCTCCACCACTTCCTCTGGCAACTCATTCCATACACGCACCACCCTCTGCGTGAAAAAGTTGCCCCTTAGATCCCTTTTAAATCTTTCCTCTTTCACCTTAAACCTATGTCCTGTAGTTTTGGACTCCCCTTCCCTGGGAAAAAGACCTCTGCTGTTCACCCTATCGATGTCCCTCATGATTTTATAAACCTGTGAAAGGTCACCCTCCCCCCTACCCCCAGCCTCTGTTGCTCCAGGGAGTTTAGCCCCAGCCTACTCAGCCTGTCCCTAAAGCTCAGTATTCAGGCTGTGAACAACACTATTCAGCGACTCACACTCAGGTGTATGTGCATTCACTAAAGCGTAAGCTTTATCATAGAATCTTATGTCCTGTGAATGAATAAAGGAACATAGGCAGAGCTCATTCAGACCAGTGCTGGATATTTGAAGAAAGTACTAATTAGTCCTGCATTCCTACATAGCTCTTCAAACGTTGCCTTTACAAGTATTTATCCAGGTTTTGGAATGTTATTATTGAATCTGTTTCCACTGGCCTCTCAGACATCACATTTCAAATCATAACAACTCCTCTCTAATTCTTTTGCCAGTTACCTAAATAGTGATTTGTTCTGTACGTTGATCTTGTTCCTCCTTGTCTACTTGACCAAAGCTCTCTGTTTGTCAGTGGGATGCTAATCCTTGGCCGTGAGTCTGAGCCCATTCCTCGGTGCTGACCTACCCACTGCTGCTGACAGCCCTCATACTCACGTGGATTTGCTGTTGAGGTCCTTGTGGAATTATTCCACAGCACAGTTCACCCTAGGTTCCCACTGAAAGTCACTATTCAGCCATTCTTGTTGGTCTGTAGGTGGATACAAACAAGGAACAAGAGTAGACCATTCAGCCTTTCAAGCCTGTACTGTCATTCAATAAGAGCATGGCTAATCTGATTCTACCCTTACTGCTACATTTCTGCCTACTCCTGGATAATCTTTCACCTGTTTGCTCATCAAGAATCTGCCCACCTCTGCATTAAAAATCTTTAAAGCACATGCATCCACTGCCTTTTGGAAAGGGAATTCCAAAGACTGTCAACCCTCTGAGAGAAAAATGTTTCCTCTTCTCAGTTTTAATGGGTGACTTCCTACTTTTAAACTGCTTTTAAACTATGATCCGTTAGCTTGCGTGGATGTGGGTGGGTTTATTGGCTTGATGACATGTTGCATTGATGTGTGTGTGTGAGAGTGTGTGTGTATGTGTGTTGGTCTGTCTAATCGTGTTTGTGTTTATCTGTCTCATTGTATGTGCGTATCTGTGTGTGTATGTCTTTTCATGTTTGTGCGTGTGTCTCCATGTTTGTAAGTGTTTGTCTGTGTCTCCATTGTGCGTTGGTTGAGTGTTTTTCTATATCTGTGTGTGTGTGGGTGTGTGTGTGTGTGTGTGTGTGTGTGTGTGTAGCTATGATATTACCTATTTACCCTGCACTAAATAGTCTCCTCAGACCCTCACTGGGAGACCCACATTGAAACAACAGATTTAACATTGGAAAGATGAAGTGACCCACTCCACAGAAAAATAACAATCAGAGCACTGCAGGGAAAATAGCAGGCAAAATGTCAAATCAATATAGAACAATCTTAAAGCAGCTGATGGATATAGCTCTGCTTATGTGCAATTAGCTGTAATTTGGAGCCATTGATGTGATTCAGCAGTAAAAGGAATAAGCTTTTGTTTGTTCATTACAGGACTATGCAGTTTCCACAGTTGAAGTGACAGGTACTCTGCACCTGAAGACTTTCTGCACTATGGCCGGTCCTGGTCTGATCGCCATTGGCTCCAGCCCGCATGCTCAGAACACTCTGAAGGTATGTAGGTCATAACAGGAGGGGGCCACTCAGCCCCTTGAGCCATATTGTTCAATTCCTTGGTAATTGCTGCTGCTAATCCTCATTCCATTTCCCCACAATGCCTCAATGCTTTCTAAAACCCCAGGTGCCTCAGAGTTTACCAAACACATTTCACAATGGGCTTTGTGGGAGAGAGTTCCACATTACTGTATTGCCACACTGCATATGAAGAATCATTTCTGCACTTCTCTCCCAGTCTCTGGTTTTACACAACGGCAATATTGACAACAATTCAAAAGTATTACAATGGCTACAATCACCGCATCAGGAATGGTGCTATATAAAGGTAGGTTCAAACGACTGTCCAAAAAGGTACAATGGCAACGGGATGATAAGGCACAATAGGGATTCAGTCCATTAGCCAGGGACCAGAACTTATGTAGGGTGTTGTTATATAGGGTCTTTCTTCAAAATATCACTCATGGGATATAAGCATCATTGACTGTGCCAACATTTATTGCATGTTCTGATTTGCTCCAGAGAAGGTGATGGTTATCTGCCTTCTTGAATCACTGCAGTCCACCCCGAAAGGCTGACCCACAATGCCCTTAGGAAGGGAATTCCAGGATTTTGACCCGGCAACAGTGAAAGAACAACAATATATTTCCAAGTCAGGATGATGGGTGGCTTGGAGAGGAACTTGCAGGAGGTGGTATTCCCATATATCTGCTGCCCTTGTCTTTCTAGATGGAAGTGGTTGTGGGTTTGGAAGGTGCTGATTAAGGATTTTCTGCAGTGCATCTTGTAGATAGTACACACTGCTGCTACTGAGCGTCGGTGGTGGAGGGAGTGGATGTTTGTGGATGTGGTGCCAATCAAGTGGGGGCTGCTTTGTCCTGGATGGTGTTGAGTTTCTTTAGTGTTGTTGGAGTTGCACTCATCCAGGCAAGTGGGGAGTATTCCGTCACACTCCTGACACTCACATTCCTGGTCATAGCCTGGCATTTGTGTGGCGTGAATGTTACTTGCCAATTCAGAGTCAACACAGTGTGGAGCTGGAGGAACACAGCTGGTCAGGCAGCATCAGAGGAGCAGGAAAGCTGCTGTTTCGGAAACGTCGACTTCCCTGCTCCTGTGATGCTCCCTGGCCTGCTGTGTTCCTCGAGCTCCACACTGTATTGCCTCTGACTCCAGCATTTGCAGTTCTTGCTAGCTTTGAGTTACTTGTCCCTTGTCAGCCCAAGCCTGATACTGTTGCATTTGGACACAGGCTGCTTCAGTATCTGAGCAGTGGTGAATGTTGCTGAACATTGAGCAGTTTTTCAATTTCTTTTCATTGTGCAAGTTTCCCCCAATTCCAATGGGGCCAATTCTGCACGATCTGACAACAGGCTGAAGAGTGGTAAGTGGCTCTGCATTGACATTGCTGGAAGCTCGGATGCATTCTCGGCCTGGCTCAATAAATGTCATTGGAGCTTCTGCCATTTTCTAGCTGCCAGTAAATCAGTGTGGCCAGGGTTGCAGGAGGAAGGCGGGCTGGGGTCTCCCTACACTGTTCCCCATTAAACACTCCCAGGACAGAGACAACACAGGGTTAGATACAGAGTAAAGCTCCATTTACACTGTACTGTATGAAACACTCCCAGGACAGGGACAGCACGGGGTATGATACAGAGTAAAGCTCTCTCCATGCCAGCCCCATCAAACATTCCCAAGATATTGCTGGCAGAATGTCCTGGCACTGAGAAGGTGATGGGCACTTTGTTCCTGCCTTTCCTCACCATGTTACACATCATCCCCCACCCTCACCCAGACACCAGCCTGTCACCAGGGTGCTAGTAGAATGCAGCTCCAGTTACAGGAAGGGAACAAGGACAAAGGCAATAGATATAACAAAATAAATCAGATAATGTTTTATCCGCCAAGGGAATGGACATTTATAAATGACAGAAGAATTGGTAACAGCTGTGCAATGAAGCAATATCTTAAATAAGGCTGAGTTCCATGAAAATCAGTCAAAACCGCAATGAGAAAATTGCTTTAATGGACTTCTCCTGGGCTTGGCTTGGAATAGAAATTAATAATGTGAGAATTTTGAATTTGATGTCAGTGGTGGTGGGAGTCACTGTGCAAATGTCCTCCACACTCTTCCAAATCTCTCTGTCGTAACTATAGTTAAATACAAACCTTGTGTGTTTTCTTTCTTATTTTAGTCTGCGTTTCTCCTTATCTGAAGCATTGAATGTTTTGTTTCCAGTTCATGTACCTTCCCACCAGTATCAGGGAGACATTGGGCATCAGTGATTGATGTAGCTAAGCTCTCCAGATTGCTTCGGTAGGATTTATGCTCAGCAGCTGGTCTGTGCTGGAGCTGGTCCAGCTCTGAGTAAACTGAAATCTCTCGTAATCTGCTGGCTCTTAATCTTGGAACAGCAGTTTGAGAAGAGGTGGCTTAATTCATGTTCGAAATTATCTTTCTTTCAGCAATGCAAATTCGCCCAAATCCCTGGCAGAACTGGTACTTAGCCTGTGACTAAGGTACACATTGACCCTCGGGAAGTCCCCAGTTCAGTTTGGACTCGGTTCCAAGTGAATTGATTTCAGTTCAGTGATAGGGTGAGAGACACCATGTTCAATCTGAGGGTCCCTTTTGGCAGAGGAGATGCGATCTGCCCGAGCTCCTGCTCTCCATTCTTTACCACGGTAACGGAAGCAGAAACTGCTGGAGAAACTCAGCAGGCCTAGCAGCATCTGTGGGAAGAAAGCAGAGCTCATGTTACGAATCTGGTGACTCTTCAAGGGTTACAGGGAAAACTCAGGGAAGTAGACACGAGGAATGTTGGATCATCCGTGATCCTATTGAATGGTGGAGCAGTCTTGAGAGGCCGAATGGCGCATTACTGTTCCTTTTACATATGGATTTATAGTGTTGTGAGCATTTGGTCACCTGTTGTTATATGGTTTGGTGTTGAGTTTTGTTTGATCAATGTCCTGTGAAGCATTTTGGAATATTTGAAGAACATATACAGGAGCAATGTGATGTAAAGTACATTGTTGAGATGCACAGGTGAACAGAATTAGCCAATAAAGTACCCAGAGCACTTGGAAAGAGAGGCTTTTCCACAGCTGCTAAGCGCATTAAAACAGCCCCTCCAATTCTGATTTGTATTTGAATGAGTAAGTTCCTCTCGGGGCTTTCTCTTATGCTGCAGTGCTCTTTGAAGGGGCAATTTGTATTTTTTTTTTGTTTTGTGTGTTTTCTAAAACAGCAGAAAGAGAGACCGGCTGGTCACTGGGCTAATGGGTAGGAAACAGGTAATAATTGTGCTGCATTCTGTAAATAAACTCATAAATCAGAAGAAGATATTTGTGTCCAGTTTCATCCTTCACTGACTGGCTTGGGATCAAATTAGCGAACAGGAACATGTGCTATTGTCCCGGAACCTTTCTTATGGTGAAGATACTGTATAGGTTATTGCAGTTAATGCATACCAAGACCTACACTACTACTGTGCTGCACAGCAATACAGAGACAATCATTTTTTCCCTTCTGTTTTTAATTGCCTGTCCCACTGTTGGGAAGGGGAACAGCCAGTCAGCAGGTTGTACCAGGCGTCTGCCAATATATCATTGACCACTGGCAAGCCCCACCTTACCCCGCTGACTTTTATAACCCTGATTTATTTTTAAACTCCCCTGCCATCCAGAAAGCAGTTCATCTGAACTGTCCAGGAGATCTGAAAATGCACTAGTTCTTCGAAGCCAGCCATTCCTACACAAACAAAGACTGAGAGGGAACACATGGCTGATGCTTCTTGCTATTCGATCTGCCTTGCGGATGCTGTGGTACTGAAGAAAGAGGTGCAGGCACATTGTTGATAAAGAAACAGCAGGAATTGTAGACCCATTCTATGTGTGGGGATCAGGTGAAAAACATGGAGTCAGCTTCTTGCCTTTTATCCAGTTTAGTTTCTGGAAAGAATTACTTGACCTTGTTTTGTCCAAGCAACAATGAGGGCTCTTTGGGGGGAAAGAATGCAAGTTTATTTCCCCAGAAATCTGAAAGAGGTTCATGGATTGTATCTGGTGCACATTTCTCTTGTGTGATAATCTTCTCTCTTAATCATTACCGTCATTGAATTTATTCAAGGCTGCTTTAGATAGATTGTTTTGATAGTCAGGGGAGTCGAGGATTATGGGGAGCAGACAGGAAGGCAAAGCAGAGACTACAACACCATCAGCTTTTATGTTATTGAATAGCAGAGCAGGCTCGAGTGCTCAAATGGCCCAGGCTTGCTCCTAAGTTCCTGCGTTTTTGGCCAAAGACTTTCAGATATCAGGAAGCTGGACTTTGACCATGTGAGAGGGGTTCGTGAACTGAGAATATGAACAGGCAGTGCCCAGGTTACAAATGGGTTCTGTCCTTGAGTGAGTTCGCAAGTTGATTTGTACACAAGCCTGAACACAATGAAAGACAATATAAAATAGCCACTTGTGACTAGGAGGAAACATTTGTATGTCAGGTCTTTAAAAGTGTTATTAATGTCGGGCCATTTGGCCCAGGGATTCTGCTCCACACGGCCCTGTATAGGATTATGCTTGTATAATACAAGCAGCTATGAGTTGGATATTCATAATGGGGCACCCGCTAGAGTTAACTTATCCTCCTTGTAGATTTTTTTAAGAATTCCAATTTAAACATTAATTGCAGAACTTACACCTTATACAAGATAAATGCTGAGTTATCATACAACTATTGCTGAGAGTTATTAAGTAAAAACTGATTCAATAAAATACAGAGGCAAAGATCAAAAGTAGGTATGGACAAAAAAAATTCTTTTAAAGATGGAAGTAAGAACAGTGTGTTATCCTTGTAGGGCTGTTACTTGTTTAAAGATTTTCTTTCTGATGTGAAATGTGAAGTCAGAATTTAACGGCTGTGATGGCTTCTGTAGTTGAATAGTTGGAGGTTTTACTTACAGGTGCAGATTCTGGGAGGGAGTGAAGACTCCTTTATTTCACTTTTATGGCACTGCAGGATATGGCCTGGTTCAGTGCGATAATCCTCAGCTGGTTTACCTTCTTGAGTTCCCAGTTGACTATCTCTCTCTCTCTCTCTCTCTCTCTCTCTCTCTGTCTGTGTGTCTCTCTCTCTCTCTCTCTCTCTCTCTGTCTGTGTGTCTCTCTCTCTCTCTCTCTCTCTCTCTGTCTGTGTGTCTCTCTCTCTCTCTCTCTCTCTCTCTGTCTGTGTCTCTCTCTCTCTCTCTCTCTCTCTGTCTGTGTCTCTCTCTCTCTCT